ATATGGGTAGAAAAATAGAAATGCAAACTACAAGTGGACACAAACCACAACATACCACAGGTGTTCTTTAAAAAATATGTAAGCTCAAATAACAGGTCAGTACAAAACGTAATTTAGAAATCAAACATTTCCGGTGGTTTTACAGAGCATCCAATATATACCAGTTAGTACTTTAACAAAATTTTTACATCTGACCATCATCGGTAACATTAATACTACCTATCAGTCATAATTTTGAACTTAGAAAATCAACAGTATAACAGTCATTTTATTCCCTCACACTCACCTATTGCATCAGATTTAAGTAGAAGTTTGGCCAATTAAAAACTTAAGGTCTTGAAATATTCGTCTCTTAGCTGTGATGAAAAACCTGTCAAAAATTAAACAAATATATACATTAACTTGCCTGTAACCATAAAGTTGACAATACTGTGAGATATCATTATTATGTTGTAGGTTCTGGTGTTGGGGACTCCCATATAGAAAGGTTGGGATGCTCGAGCTCATCGTCTTGCTTATTAGGGGTATAAATCAAGGATTCTGGTCTCACTTAGGGTGTTCACGATGAAACGCCACTATTTTTCGCTGTCAAAGTATGTTTTAGGGTGCACTGTCTCGACCAGTCTACCTCCATGGGCTCCTTTCCTGAACAGAGGCTGGTAAGAGCCAATTCCATTTTAGGTGGTATCTCTTAGGTGTCAAATAAAGCTTGAGCCATGCCCAGATTGGTCTCCTATTGGGGTTTAATTTAAATTTTCGACAAGCATCCCCGACCTTTCTATATGGGAATCCCCTGCCCGGGGGTTCTGAGGGTAAATACTCCCATTTATTACCTGTATATGGGCATGTGCTGCTGTGAAGGGTGTGGTTTTCGGGCCGTTTAGTCTGGGATGGGGTATAACAATCAGACAGTTTTGGTCTAGAATAGGGTATAATTTACTGGAAAAGTAGCCAGTGTTTAAGTAATTAAGTCTAGAACAGGTTTCTTCTTAGAAGTGACTACTATGTAAGTTATTGGTTTGGTTAGTGTATGTTGCACTATGATGGTGATAAAGTTTCTGCATGGAAAACAGCTAGTCTGGAATACGGTAGGGGTTTTTGGTGCCTAGTCTAGCAGAGGGTTGCAAAATCAAGCTGATCATGATTTCTAGTATAGGGTAAGGGTTTCAGTGTCCCAGCGGCACACCCCTACCTAAAGATTTACAGAGTACCCCCTCCCCTCTGCCCCCTCCTCCACCTCGGGGGAGGTNAGAGGCACACCCCTACCTAAAGATTTACAGAGTACCCCCTCCCCTCTGCCCCCTCCTCCACCTCGGGGGAGGTGTGTGTTGGTTTCCATAATAGGACCTGATGTCGTTCTTGTAATCTGTCGCTAGTCTGCCTGATAGCTTCACGATCAGCCAGTTCAAATTCATGTAGAGCCAGCTCTAAAACGAACACGAAACCATACAAATCTCTTTATGGAAACGTTACATACCATTACACTTTGATTGATTGTTTCGAGGATTCTCAGGCAGTTTTGCAGCATTAAACTTTCCATATTGGACAGTCAAACTGCTTGGCAATCCTCTCTGTTGGCAGCATATTGCGTCCAACCAGAGAAAGGCCGTTTCTCCGCTTATAAAAGTATCACACAATGAGAAGTTCATGTGTCTTCCGATCTCGTTCCTGTGAGTGAACGCTAGTTTTTTGTTCCCAGCTTCTGCTCGTGATTTCAGTTAGAGCAGCTTTTCGGGAGGGGACCAGGACAAAATAAAATTTGACGCCAAAATTACCAACTTAACCCTCCATTTGTTCCCATGACACAATCAATCAACTGTTGTTGTGCAAGTATTTGTGGTAATTTTTTCTCAAACGCTCATTAATGC